TAGATAACGACCTAGCGACGACCGTGAACGAAAACGCAGACAGCGCACTGCTAAAACGTTCTGCGGCCAAATCGACCGGGTTCTTGGCAGAGCGTGCAGTCGCTCCGTGCGGTAAGAAAGACAACGGGCCGACGGGCCCTCCAGACGCATTGAGGGGGGGGGGGCTGATTTCCGGCGGCAGGCCTCGATGCCTCAATGCTACCGGCCGGGCCGACCGGACGCACGCATGCCGCGGTGAGAGTGGGCTCCCCGCCCTCTAGGCCCCCATCAAGCCCGTCCCCCGCACTACGAACTACGACGTCCACGACGTCCACGACGTCCACGACGTCCACGACGTCCACGACGTCCACCAGGACGACGGTTACCTGGAACAAGCCGGCTTGACGTGGCTCCAGTGGGTGAACCGCTGCGGCCGGGAGGCCTGCTGCGCCTGCAGCAGTACTTGCGAGCCCTGCACCAGCGACTGCGGCGACAGCGGCTCGGACGTGAGCGCGCTGCGGGCCACGAGGTACTCGAGCACGAACAGCACCCACTTGAAGGCGTCCATCGCGACACTGATGCACTGGATGCACTACTGCTTGGAGGCGCGCGCGCGCGGTCTGCTCGTCGCGGAGGCCCGGGGTGCACAAGGATGGCGTTGACGTGGTCGTCAGCCCCGTGCTGCACGCGGTGCTGCACGCGGTGCTGCACGCGGTGCGGCTGTCGTACGCTGTCGTCGCGCTCGGCCTCGGCTTCGGCTTCGCCCCGCTTCGCCCCACCGTCCGTGTTCGGTCCACCGCGATCTCCGGCGCTCTGGCGGACTCAGACTCCCCGGGGCCGGCGCAGTCATAACCCGACGCCGTCCTCCGGGTGGGTGGGGCGCGGAGGCGCGGCGCGGGCTGCGGGCTCCGGTGGCGGGGGTCTTGGGACTTGGCGGGCTCCTCCGGCAGGTCTACCTCCCCGCCGGGCTGGGCTCCTGGCGCCTTTCCACTCTCACTGCAGGACCGCTGCTGTTCGCGAGGCAGCAAATCTTGCGGTGGCGGTCAAAAGCGGTCAAAGACACCGGCTGGGTGCAGCCGGAGAGGCGCGCCGGCAGACGGCTACGTCACGACGGCGATGTGGACATCGCGGAGCCGGGCCGCCAGCCGCCACTGGAAGGCCCTGGGCGGGACCCTGGAGTCTGGGGGCCGGACCAGCCGGGCGTCATAACAAACCGATCTGAACTAGGTCCTGGGGACATCGTGTTGATGGGCGGTGAGGACCTCACCCATGGGCTGGCCCATGCGGTCAACACCACAACACGAACCGAACCCGAGTGGAGCCTTGCCGCCATGCCACGACGTTCGGGTGCGCCCCGCTGAAGTGCTGCGTGGTGTTGGCTGCGGTGGCCGCTATCTCTGCTTTCGTTCCGACTACGAGCGTTGCGCAGCAGGCCTTATTCGCAGATAATGGGGCGAAATACTGCCAATAAGGGGAGTCGGTGGACCGGGCAGCAAAAGTGCTACAGAGTGGCGAGATGCGCTTATCTACGACCGCCATGAATCGGAACGACCCGCCGTCTGGACGCCGTCGCGGTGCGGAAAGGAAGAGCAGGGAAGTACCCCCACCGCCCGGCGGGAAGCACGACGGCGACCTCCTCCTCGCCGTGCACCGCGTTAATCCGCGGCCTCGCGACGTGCTTGTTGAGGCCCTGCGTAATCAGCCCGCCAGCCGCCAATCGAAGCCCTGCTATCGCGTGCAGCTGGATTTGCCGAAGACTCGGGGCGGGGCTTGGACGCGACGCTCAGGTTGGCGTCGTCGCCGTGCTCGCGGCGCGCCGCCAACGACTCCCTTTATCCACGCGCCGTGCGGCCGAGTGGCGGAAGTCCGTTTTTAGCCGCTCTCGCTCGCTCTCGCTCGGAGCGTGACGTTCCGGCGTCCGCCCCAATCACCGCGCATCTCTCTCACTCTCGTTAGGCCAGGCGGGTGCGACGAGGAAGCCACCCGTGCCGACGACGTGGCAAAACGAGATCGACGGGGAGGTCCGCGATCCGCGTCGTCGCCACGGAGCCCCCGGCGGGTAGGCAAGGCCGCGGCGATGGCAACGTCGGCAACGCGCGCGCTGCCTACCTCGCACGGCGCTCGCAAGCCGCCAGCCGCCAGCCGGCTTGGCCGCGCGCCGACGCGCATCGGCAGACTGATTCTGAGAGTCGTTTCCGTCGCTCTGTCTCTCTCGCACTCATGGGACGTCCCGTATAGGTGCGAGAGAGACAGAGCGATACGAGAACGACTCTCGGCATCAGTCCTCTGCGCAGCGCGAGCGCAGCGTGTCGGGGCCTCGGGACGTCGGGGACGTTCAAGCAGAGCGCGAAGCGCGAATGTGGCTCAAGTGATTGTTGAGGTGAACCCCGTTGACGCACGGACTCAGCATCCCCCGGCGGACCTTGGTGCGGAAATAGACACGCACCGGATGCGTCCGAGGCTCAGCCCGAGGCTCGGCGCTCGGCCCGAGGAGAGCCAAATCAAACGCATCTGGTTCAGACTGGACACGCAGGGCGCAGCCACAACGCATCCAGTGGACGCCATCGACGCACTCCGCCCCACTTAGACGCGCCGACGCGCGGCCAGCAGCGATGCCGAACAGTGCTCGGTCGCTCGGTCTCTCTCGCACACCTACGGAACGACCGGTGAGTGCGAGAGGGACAGAGCGACAGCGCACCGTTCTGCATTGCGAGCCTGTTTTTGCGGTGTACCTATCTAAACTTAGCGGCCGTTGGACACCTTCGGGTACCTTCGGCTCCCCAAGGACTTCCCTGCGCCTCCTCGTCCAACGAGCGCCCGGGTTGGCAGAAGAGAAGCCTGCCGGAATGTCCGCTGAAAGGCGCTGAGGTCCCCGTCTAGCTCCTGCTCGAGGCTATGAATATGGAAAGGGCCCGCGAGGCGCGCGCGCCACGCCTCGACTGGCTGGGGCGACAGATCGGCCGAGATGAAGAGAATTTGTACGGGTGCAGGCATAAGGCAGCATGCCGAACCCGGGCAGGGCAGTCCTGAGTCACTGGATCCCACAGGCTTGCCTTGGCGCAGGCTCGCGCAGTGGAGAGGACAAGTAAACCGAAGTAAACCCGCGGATGATCCGCGTCTATTATTGGCAAGATAAGCCGTTCGACTCGTAGCCACTCCCCTGCAGGCCGCCTTAGTCAGGCCGGAAGGACACGACGACACCAGAAAAACACTCCCTTTATCTTCGGCTGGATTACCCTTCGGTAGGCGCGCTGCCCGACGCGGTGCCCGAGGTCCTGTCACTTCGGCGGCGTCAGCCTCATCACGTTATGCAACACTTGACTGGCGCTCGGATATTGATTCAATCACTCGGGTTTGATTATTTTTTGTGGGTGGGGTGGTTCGACTGCGCGTGGGGCGGCTCACTGAGACGGAGACAATGCTGCCCCGGATCCACACGGCGCCGCACCGCGCTGATGGTGATGATGCAGTCCATTATATTCAGCAAGGGCCGCGCGGCAAGGCGGCACGGCGGCACGGCCGTGTGCCGTGTGACTCACGGGGCGGGCATCCTGGCGACGGATGTGCCCCGCCGTGCCCGCCGTGGCGCAGGGCACCCACACGCACCGGCGCCCACGCGCACGCACACACGTCGCCACGAAAAAAACACGTCAAAATATTATAGTGTGTCCGCCGGCGGGTATTTTGTCTGCGGCACGGGCCGCCCTCCGCCTTTGTACGGGGCCACTGTTTGACGCGCCAAAGTCAAGGAGTCGCGGTCCAAGACGTCCACGACGAGGCGGCGCGGAGCGCGGAGCAGCGGAACAGTGATACAATACGACGCCAACTATCGGCATTGTGCCCGAAACACGGACGGGGCGACGCCTGTCGAGCCTGTCGCCGTCACGCCCCGACGCGGACTCGGACACGTGCCCCGCCACACGTGCACGCCGACACGTGCGGAAGCGGCGGCGACAAGCACCCCGCCAAGCACCCCGCCAAGCACCCCGCCAATGGTCGCACGGTTCACGGCTTCACGGCGCTCTCTTTGAGCCTTAGACTTCCTGGAAACGAACTCTATGGGCGAATACAACATATGGGAATATCTTCGGACTTCCCTTCTCGAGAGGAATCCATTGGTACCTTCACAGGGTTGATCGAATCCAGTGGAATGACTTTGGAGCTCCCAGCCGGGTTGTTTTGATCCGCGGATCCTCGCCGGCGCACCACATTATACTGATGCAACACAGGAGCCGGCCGCAGAGGCGGCTGGCGTACCAGGTCCACGCCACACGTGGCTCGCCGCCGTGCCGCCCTTCGACAGACAGGTGTCCCCCGAATTCGTACAGTCGCGCAAAAAGGCCGAAAAGCCAAAAGGCATGCAGATTCGGGCACGACACGCCCGCCGTCATCGCGGGCGCCTTATCTATCGCCTCGCCGCGGCCGGCTTGACTTGACTCGGGACTCATCTAATCCGACAACACGCGCCGAGAGGCCCGAGCAGCTCGAGCAGCCCGGGGCGCCGGCGAGCGAATGCGGCAAAACAACACCATAAACCGATCCGGCACGGCAGGGCGGCGCGGTTCACCGAATTTCGGGACATTTTTGGACGCTATCGAGGCGCGCTTTCAAGTTCAAAAATTTGCGTCCCCTGGAATGCGCGGCGGTTACTACACTAGTGGATAGCGGATGCGGTCACCGGCCTGTCGGACCGGTGTGAGGTATGGCAGTTACTTTCACGTTCACGGCCCGCGTGGCCGCATCCAATCCACCCCCACCTATCCGCACCCACCCGCACCCCCACCGCGAGGCGCGAAGAACCCCCGGGCGGCCCGCTGGGGCCCGCTGGGGCCCGCTGCCCGATACCGGGTATCAGGCCGGTCCGGTGGCGTAGCACCTCTTCACTTTCCCCCGCCTATTCCAGGCCAGTCCACTGGACGGTCCACTGGACGGTCTTCCGGACCGTGACCCAGACCCAGTAGAGACTGGTGGTTCGGGGTGGCTGCCGCCACTGCCGCCACCTCCGCGGCTGGTGCACTGACCTGTCACAAGACGGCGGCACCGAGTCGGGCGACACGTCGGAGGTCTCGATGGCGGTGGCCAGGCTGGCGAGCAGCAGCGGCTGCAGCAGCGCCAGGAGCACGCAGGTCTGCATCGTGGAGGAGGCCCTCGCCGTCCTGGCGGTCTTCATGGCGGTGCTGGGGGGATGCTGGGATGCTGCCGGAGTCCTCGGGTCCGCGACGTTGCGCGCCTCGACGAACACCGTGAACCGCGTGTCTGGGCGCCGCGGCGTTCCGCGATCAGAGAGCTGCTCGCCGACGTGCCCCGCCACCTCGCCGTCAAGCCAAGTCGACGCGCGCTGCTGCCGCGACACTCTTGGACTGGACGCGGGACGCACAGGGCGATGGAGTAGTATAGGCCGTGGCGGGCCGCGCGGCGGGGCGTGGCGGGGCGCGGTGCGGCGAGGCGGGGCGAGGCGGGGCGCGGCGGGGCGGGGCGTGGCGGGCTCTACAAGACCGTGCGGGCTTAGCGCACCGCCTCACCCGGCCGGCGGTTCCTCCTCACGGCGGCCTCCGACCCCGCGCCCAGACACTGACCCGCCCTGCCGGGCCACGCCAAGGGCCCTGACACCCGCCAGGCTCCAGAGCGGCCCTTCCGGGCCTGCCAGCCCTGCAGGCCCTGCTGGTGGACGACGCGGAAGTGGCGGAGGCATAGATCGCGGGGCGAACTACGTCGCAGTCCTCGTCGTAGCCACACAAGACTTGCCGACCTGCCAGGGTGACCTGCCGACCAGCCGTCAAGAGTCGGAAACTTCAAATTCGGGAATAAGTACGTAACTTTCTTGCGAATTCCAGTGAATAAATTTTCGACAATTTCGCATGATTTGAAAACGACGAACATTGCCGAATGCCAAGCGCTGCCAGCGAGTCGCCCTCCGCGCTGCACAGCACTCCGGTGATGATAAAACGCGCGGGGCCGCAGTAATTATAATTATTCTGTTTATCTCTGTGGCCTCTGCAGGCCGATGCCGATTCCGAGCAGTGCCTTTCTTCGTGGCCCTGTCTCTCTTGCACTCGTGGGGCGTCACGCCAGTCACGCGAGGGTGCGAGAGAGACGGCGCGAAGAAAAGCGCGACCGCCACGTCGCGATTGTGAGGCCGATCCGCCGCTTTTCCTCTGAAAAGCAGGCGCGGTTCATCAATGAGCGGAAAGTGTGTCGAACGCCGCTACACTGCAGTGCAGTAGGGCGAGCGCATCGCCAAGGGCAGGGGAGCGGCCGTCGCGGCGCCGCGGCACTGCCAAGCCCTGCGCGCTGAATGCGGCTGAATCACGCTGGCCGTGGCCACTCCACACCGCCACACTGGCAGATTAGGGCAGCGGATGCCAAGGATGACGGAGACAATCACAACAGAGTCCTCGAAGAATTGGGGAGCGCCACTGTGACACCGACACTCGCGCGTCCCGGACGGGTTTGCCCGGCCCTGTGAGTCCGCCCCGCCCCGCCCCGCCCCGCCCCGCCCCGCCCCGCCCCGCCCCGCCCCGCCCCGCCCCGCCCCACCCCGCCGGGGCCTCCAGCGGAGGGCGTATCCTTGCCGCCGGGGGCGTGCTGCCGGGCTGCATGGCTGCAAGCCTGCGTCGCTGCTCAGTGTCTCTGGCGCCCACACTGCGCACCACCATGTGTCGGGGGCGTGTGGTGGAAACGTCCCGTCCGCGCTGGGGCCGGTGTAGAGACCCTGGGGCGGTAAGCTTGTGTGTGTCACTGCGTCCCAGACGCCCCCCAGTGAACATGGTGGACAGCGTGAACTGCGGCCGGCGTCGCGGCGCGTTGTCGTCGGCCCGCCCCCGTGCCAACCACGTGCACCTCGCCGTCAACAACGCGAACGGCCGAAGGGCCGAAAGGCCGCCGATGGCGAGCCGGCCGAAGGGCCGCGCTAAAATAGCCCGGCCGGAAGGGGCTGGCGGCGCGGCGGCGAGGGGCCGCTCCAGAATAGAACGAGCAGAACGAAGAACGAAGAACGGAGAACGAAGAACGAGGCTGTGGCGAATTGGAGGCGCTGATTGGGGCACGGCCGGCACGGCACGGCCTCGCCGGGAGGGGGTCAAGTCTGGGAGGCGGCCACTCTAGCGCGCCTGCAGGAAGGGGTCAAGTCTGCGAGGTGGCCACTCTAGCGCGCCTGCAGGAAGGGGTCAAGTCTGAGAGGTGGCCACTCTAGCGCGCCTGCAGGAAGGGGTCAAGTCTGAGAGGTGGCCATTCTAGCGCGCCTGCAGGAATGGGTCAGGTCTGAGAGGTGGCCACTGTGGTCAAAGCCTTCCCTCGACGTCCTGGTACTCCCGCAGGACTTCGCCGTCGTTCACGTGACGCCGAGTGGCTACACTAACTTGCCGAGTGGACACACTAGCAATTAGCCTAATTTGTCGCCCGGCCGCTAGCTCAGCCCCTCCTAGTGATAAACATAACCGGCGCAGTAAAACCATTTCCGCCCACCTTTTCAGCTGGACGGTGAAAGCCAAGACTCTCCTCGAAGTGCACATGCGACATGCACGGAGACGAGGACGTCGCAGTGCTTGTCGCCTACTGCCTACCAGTCCCTGCAGTACATGTGTACTGTAGTCCCTACTCAGTGCATCTCCAAATCCGTCGAGTGTTTACCGGCTGCCGCGACAGTCGACGACGCGCTGCTACTCGAATCTCGGCGATTTTGCCCATTATTTTGTCGGAAAAATGATGGATAATGCGTTACATCCTGCCTTCCTTCCGGACACGGCGAGCACCGCTACGACTGCAGCGCGCCGCCGCCCTGCCCCGCCCATCGCTGTCCCTCTCGCTCTCAGGGTGCGTCCTGCAGGGGCGCGAGAGAGACAGAGACAGAGCGACGGGCCGCGGTTCGGAACCAGCCAGACTCGCTCCTGGACACGGCCGTGGACAGGTGCGGCGCGTCGCGGCGTGTCGCGCGCACCACTTTATGTGACGAGATAATACTTTTGACTCCTGGGTCTGTTTGGACGTTTGGACGCGCCCCGCGGCGCCGCCGGCCGCGCGCCCCGACGCCGATAGCGCCAAGTAGGTCGTTAGCGAGTAGCAGCGACGCAGCGAGCGCCGCAGGATCAGGGATGTCTGGCGCGAGCGGCAGCGCGCCACAAGGGCGCCGAAACCGAAAGGAAAAGCGATAATCGGAATCTACAGTGGGGCGTGTGAGTGCGTGTGCGTGTGTGAGTGCGCGTACGGCGGCGGCGTAAGCGCGGTTGGTTATCACGGCGCGCGGCGCACCGCGTCCTTGGCGCTGGCGGTCCCTGGCGTCGCAGCTCGTCGCGTTGTGGGCACGCGCCGTCGATCAAGGATGCTGCAGGTTCACGACCCGCAGGCCGTCGCTCTGTCTCTCTCGCACTCACAGCGTGTCCCGTGTGGGTGCGAGAGAGACAGAGCGCCGATTGGTGGTCCGGAAAGAGAATGCCGGGCAAGCTCTCCGGCCACGGCTCTCCGTGGGCATGGCGCCCTTGTGCTCGTCGTCCTCGTCGTACTCGTCCTCACGGCGTGGCGGCGCGGTTCATTGGTCACCAGATGGCGCGTCTGCCGGCGTCTGCCCGCCGCGTTATCTTGAAGAAGCGCGGATCGAGCCTCTCGGCCCACAGGCCTACCTGCAGCAGTGCCCACGTTTGGCGGCGCCAGGCCGAGGCACCGGGCGACTGCGGACGCGGGTACGCGGATACGCGGTCGCCCATACAGTGTCGCCCGGCCAAGTCCAGGACGTCGACGCCCAGGACGCGGCCCACCGGAAGCGAGGCACGGGGTGGGGGCGCCTCAGAAGTCAGTGCCTTGCGCTCAGCACGCGTAAATTGACTCAGAGTCTCAGATAAACGGTCAAAACAGAGCGACCGTCTGGCATGAGCGGCGGTCGTGATACGGCGGCGGCCTGCCCTTCCCTGCTCCGCCTGCTCCGCGCCGCCATGCCGACCCACCGCCACACCGGACAGCGGACGACTCGGACACCCAAGGCGCTAACGGCGTGCTTCTGCATGTCGCCTTACCTAAAGCGCCTCCCGGAGTGTGCAGTAAAGTCCGCGTGATGGTCGTCGAATGTCACGCAGGCCGACTGTACCGGCAATCTCGACAAGAAGAAGGCCGTAAACTGGACTCCGTTTTCATTTTGCAAAGTATCTTTGCGAAGAGATGTTTTATCCTTTTCCAAAGGTTCAAAATAGAATTTGACTTCTTCTTTTAAGATCTAGCAAATGAGCAAAACAAAGCGTCAGTAAAATATTGTTTATTGTTTTACACAGTACATACAGATCACATAATAATTGAAAGGCAAAGCGGAAATTTAAAATCTCAACCCTGTCGCCCTCCTACTGGTCCGCATACACCACCCACATAACATTAAAATTGATTGGACAGGCATTCCAAAAAAATGCCTGCAGAAAGTCAGAGTGAAGTGAGTTATTAGACGTCACTTTCACAGGTTACAAAATAAGGGAGGTGAGATTACAAGTCGGGAGCTTACATAATAATGTCTAGCCCTTGTTGGGTAGCCAAATTAAACACACTTAAAATCTCAACACAGAGGAAGGGGAGTGATGGTGATGCTGCGAACAAGCGTGTGACCGTACATCAGAGTGACTTAATTGTATAAAGATACTTAAATAAAAACAAAAATAGTAATACTAATTTCACGGGGGCTAAGTGGGGACCCCACAGTTCATTAGCACCATTTCAGACCCCTTAAAAAAATTAAATCACATCTAAAGGATCAAAGCAAGAAACTATTTTACATCACATTCAGCAACTTAAATCTGCCTTTCCCTGTATCAGAACTAGTCTCCACCTGATTAATACAGCAGTTTAAAATTAACATAAAATAAGTTAAAATACTGAGAAATTGACTATCTACAGACATGCTATGCAAGGACACCAGAACAAGTTACCCTTGCAGGCTTCTCAAATGGAATTCAAACATAGTTAAAAATATGAGGCATTATGTAGATAAGAGAAACTCCTAGCAAATTTCAACAAAATTTATAAACCAAAGTCACACTACTACAAAGCCCATATAATTTCAACAAAATGTGCCAAAGTTCAAGCCGCATTTTTAAGTCCTCTCAAAACAATCCAATAAATTAGTTAATAAGTTATTTACTTGGCCATTATCTAATAAGCATGTCATGCAGCACTGAAGGACAACTAAATTTGTACCACTACAACAAAACTTGACAATAAGAACAGTCACATGCACAATTAAGTAGACCTTGAGTTTTAAAAAAGGAACTCGAAAGGATATAACCCTTAAACATCTTAGTCTAACAATTGAAACTTGACAGTCTCCTGCACAAATCATTCTTTTGTTGCACCAAAAATGCATCCAGGAAATGGCAATGGAGAAGGAACTCCATTCCCTCTCCACATCATTATAAATAAATGTGTTAGGCTTAGCAAATAAATAAAAATGTCAGGTAAAACAGTGCAGGTACGATGGTGAATTTCCTATGGATGGATCAATAAAAAGGCACTTTTGTACACCGTTTCCTTGTTTTCAGCACTAAAATTATTGTACGCAAACCAGAGACCAGAAAAAAAAACAAGAAAATAAAAATTAATGGAGTCTGGGTTTTGATCCTGACTCGGAGAGTACCAGCTATATCACATTCAATGCCACGTGGGCTACCGGCTCGGGAAGGGAGGCATCACTTGAGCAAAGGAACACCCCATCACAATAATGCTGCATCACAGCGACAATTCAATACAGACAAGCTTGGCAAATAAAAGCCAAATAAAACTAAAACATTTTTTTAAAAAAGGAGGAAAAAGAGAGGCGTCCTGTTTCCATAGCACCACGGTTCACAGCTCACCCCCAAACACATACAAAACTTACTTGTCAGATTCATCAAACTGAAACACACACACACTCAAACACACACACATATACACAAACACCTTCCCCTCCCGGGCATGGAATGTCCCCGCGACATGGCGCGTATTGTCCAACGAGCACAACTCTTTTTTTTTAATTAAACAAAAGAGCAATAAAAAAATTGATCTAAAATTGTGGAGAAAGAAGCAGGCAGTGCGGCGCAGGAGCGAAGCAAGGCCAAGCAAAGCCTGTTCTTCTCCGGACCGCGGTCCGCGGACGCAGAGGACCTCCTGGTCCTTCACTCCTCCACCTTGTTGCCCGTCTCCTTCGTCTCCGCGTCCGACTCGTTGTCGGCGTCCGGGTCCACCTCCAGGTCGCCGTCGTCGTCCGAGGTGACGGACGAGGCCACGCCGCCCCTGCTGGGGCTGAGCGGGCTCTTCGCCTCCAGCACCTTGTCCTCGGCCTCGATCAGGATCTCGTACGTCAGCAGCTCTGTCGGCGGAGCGGAAACACGTAGAGAGGAAATGCGTTTTGAGAAATAGAGGAGTGGCGCTGCGCTCGGTGACGTGGACTCACCTGGGTCGTCCTTGGAGGAGGCGATGAGGCCGTACTGGTCCAGCAGCTCGAAGCACACGCCGTTGGTCCAGCCGAAGCCCGCCTGCGGCGCGTACTCGCCGCCGCCTCCGCACCGGCCCACGATCTCCACCTCGTACTGCGGCGGAGAGAGAGAGAGGACGACGTCAGTGACCGGCCAGACCAATGACGTCCACGACGACGGCGACACTCACCTTCTCGTACATCTGGTGGTTCTCCATGAACCCCTTGTAGTTGGCGGCGAGCCACCGGCGCGCCAGCTCCAGGGCCAGCCTCTGCGCGCCGTGGTCGCCCGTGTTGTGCAGGCCCTGGATCAGGATGCCCTGCAGCGGCGACCAGCAGTTGGGGAAGTCCCACTGCTCGCCCGTCATGATGAGCGACGTCGGCATGCCGCCTGGAGGCAGGACAGGAACGCGTTCAACACCCTGAAGGTCAGTCTGCCCGCGGCGACGACCACGCGGCCACGCGGCGACGCGCTTACCCATGTACTTGAGGACGCCCGTGTTGAAGAGGTAGCGCACGGTGGCGCGGGCGATGTCGGCGGACTGGTGCTCGTCGTAGCAGCGCGTCCACAGGGGCGTCAGGTTGGAGGCGTAGTAGTAGCGGCGCGGCGTGCCGTTCAGCAGGTCGTAGTCCAGCCAGGTGCCCAGGTCGGGGTGCCACAGCACGGCCGTCACCGCCTCCCGGAACTGGTCCGCGATGGCGCGGTACTCGGCCGCACGGTCCTCCATGCCCAGGCGCCGGAACATCTCCGACAGCCCCACGGCGTTGCCGTACATGTAGGCGTTCAGGTCCACGGGCACGATGTAGCGGGTGTGCATGTCGCCCAGCGAGCCTGCCAAAGGGAAAATGAACATGGAGATTCCGGCGGCAAAGAGGCGGTCCCTTTGGACTCTGTTGCCGTGAATACGTCACCGTCTGCGTCCGGTCTGCCTACCTCCGTTTGTGCCTTCGTGGATGACCCAGCGGCTGGAGAAGTCCCAGCCGGTGGCGGCGGCGGACTTGATGTCCCAGTAAAGGTGCTGCTTCTCCTCGTCCGTGGCCAGGTGGTTGGCCGTCAGCACGTCCTCGCGGTACGACTCGGGCCTGGGGCCGTCCGAGGGCGAGAAGTACCTGGACAGCTTGTAGGTCTTCCCCTTCACCGTCACCTGCGACAACAGAGGAGCGGCGCGGTGAGCCTTGCCGCAGCGCCGGCCGGGTAGGCAGCCAATCCGGCAGCTGCGCGAGGCGGGGCGCGGCGCGCTGGGCGAAGGCGAGCCGGCCTACGGGGAGGCGAGGCGTGGCGTAGCGCTCGTCATGAAGAAGAAGAGGAAGGTCCCCTTTCCGGCGTGGCGGCCGCTGCGTCCGCCCTAAGTGCGCGTCCTCGACCAAGGTCTGGGCCGCCCCGCCCCGCCCCGCCTGGGCCACGCGCCGGCCAGGTGCCAATGCAGCGAGACATGAGCTAATGCGACGCAGCGCGCAGCGGTTGCCGAGTCGAGCTTCGAGTCGAGTCAACACACTCGGCCGCACAGCACAGCGTTGCATCGCTGTCTTTGTCTCTCCTGGGGGCGTCCGGTAGGGAGCGAGAGAGACAGAGCGACAAAGCGACTCCTGGGAATCAGTCTACTGCCTTGGGCCTGTACGGGACTTGGCGCGTGCTGCCGACGAAGCCCCGCTGCCCCAAAATGCTAAAACACGGGTGCACTGTACACCAACCTCAACGGTGGCGTTGTTGATCCAGAACAGGAACTCCTTCTCGATGAGATCAATGTTCTCGCGCACGAAGTCCAGGTCGCCGGAGTGCTGCAGGTAGGCCTTGATCATGGGCACCAGGAGCGGTGGCTGCGAGCGCTGGTCGTAGTACACGCGGCTGCCGTTCGGGACGAAGCCCAGCCTCTTCACCAGGACCAGCAGGTTCTCGATCACTCCCTGAAACGAGAAGAAGAAAGAGGACCCATTAACAGGCGTAAAACCCACAGCGGGCTGTTTCCGAACGGTGGCTTCGCCGACGGCCAGAGCGACGAAGCACTGTTCGGAGTCGCTCTACTCTGCAGGTAGCCGAAGCATTGACTTTGCCCGGCCGGAACGACCCCATAATTCATGGCCGCCCCGCTACGCCCCGCCGCCAGCAGAGTGGCTCCCCAGCGCTTCGTCGCTCTGTCTCCCTCGCGCCCGCACGGAACGCCCCGCGAGTGCGAGAGAGACAGCGCGACGAAGCCACTCGGAGTCAGCCTTGCGCAAGCGGCGAGTGGGCGTCGCGAGGATGGCGACGACGACGACGCCCCCGGCGGCCCGGCCCGGCCCGGCCCGGTCAGCGCGCTTTCGGACGCCAGCAGGTGAGAAAAACAATAAACAGCTCGCCGCCAGCCCCGCCAGCCGGCCGGCCGATCACGAGAACTTTCCTCCTACTTCTTGCTAGCCGGCGCGCGCGCCGCGTGACACAGACGTCGGACTGTCGGACGTCGCGGAAAGGAGGAGTGGATTGGATCCGGCTGGGCTGTCGTGTCTGGCTGCCTGTCTCTGGCTGCCTGGCGCGCAGCTGTCAGCAGATGGGAGCCACGCGGAGCCACGCGGACCAGACCGGCGCGGCAAGTCAAGCTGCAGGGTCAGCCTGCGGGGTAGGCCGCGCGGTCGACGCGCGTGCTCGACGGGCGGGTATCGGCCGCCGCCAGGCGCTCCAGGGCATAGGACAGGGCGGCAGGGCAGGCGGTCAAACCTCTAGACGCGTTTTGAGCTCCAGAGTCCCTAAACAGGACTCGAACTGAACGTGTGACCCCACCAATGGATTCCTCGTTCGGAGAGCAATCCATTGGTGGGGTCACACGTTCGGTTCGAGTGCTATTTAGCGACTCTGGAGCTCAAAACGCGTCCAGGATTTTGGGCCGCTGCGATAGGGCTGCGGGGCAGGGCGGGGCAGGGCGGCACACTTACCCTGACGCTGGCGCGCATGTCGCAGAGCAGCATGCCCTGCACGATCCAGTACGTGTCCCAGTAGTAGATCTCCCGGAAGCGGCCACCGGGCACGATGAAGCCGTTGGGCACGTACATCAGCGAGTAGAGCTGCGGGTTGTCGCGGACGTCGGTCTTCATCTTGCGGCCCAGCATCTTCCACAGCTCGTTGAGCTCCATGGCCCAGGCGCGGAAGTCCTCGTCGGCGATGCGGCCCAGGATGGAGGGCGTCTCCGTCCAGTCCGGCGGCGTCCAGGGCTCCAGCTCGTCGCCATCCTGGAGCAGGGCGAACAGGAACAAGGATTAGCACGGGGAAGGCGGCGCGGGCCAGCGCGCGGCGCGGGGGCGAACGCCCTGGGGTCCTGGACCATCCTGGACCATCCTGAGCGAGACCCGCAGTCGTTCCTCCCAGTGCCGCGACCGGCCCGGCCGACGGGGCGGGGGCTGCATTCCAGATCGAGGCAGCCGAACGTTCTCGCTCTCGCCTGCCGTCGGCGGGAACACAGCCCCCACATGCAAGGCGGACCCCACCCTGTTCAAGGCACCCCAGCGTCCCCGCATGCAGTGTAGGAGTCTTCCTCTGGTCCGACTCTGCAGTGCAACACGTGCTCCGTGCGGCGTGCGCCCTCGAGAGGCAGCCATTGCCAGTCCGCCAGTGCGACGTCAGTGCCGGCCGTCTGGGCCGAAGCGTGCGCGAGAGAACCCAAAGCAGAGCAGATATCCAGTCCCCGAGCCGAAAACTAGAGCGCGCCGCGTGGGGGCGTGGGCGTGCCACATCCTTTTATGGGCTCCCTCCCCCCTGCTAAATGTGTCCTGTTACGGCGGCCGTGCGGGCCGCGCGGCCTACCGCTGCGGTCGCTAAATGCTATTCCTGGCGCGGCATGCCCGGGATGTGAATAGTAATTTATGGCGGCCGTCGTGCTGCCGCCTCGCCGCGAGTGAGAGAGAGAGAGAGAGCCGAGTGATAACGTATCGCAGGACAGCATGCAGGGCCGGCAGACGTCGCCTGTCTCTGTCGCACGCATGGGGCGACGCCTAGGGGTGCGAGAGAGAGTGACGAAGCACTTGTTCGGAATCAGCCTGCCTGCAGGGCGCACACAACAGTCGCTCCAGGCCCCGCTTGTCGACACTGCACTGCACGGCGGTACCGAAAAAAATGAGACACATATCCCTTGAAACCATGCGTTACACCAGCCTTGTCGATTTCTCTCTCCCTGGCCCGACCAGTCCACGTGCACCTCTCACGCGACGCGCCCGTCGAGCGACAAGACGACATCCATGGAGCGCGCCGATCTATTTATAGAGTCGAAATGCCGCCACAAAGTTTCAACTTGAGGCTTGGCAGCGTCACGCCGTTTCGGAGAAGAAGGAGGCACACGCACACACTCACAGACAAACACACACACAGGCTTTTCTTCCGAACAGCGAGAGCCCAGCGAGGCACTCCTGGGTACTCGCGGTCGCAGTCCGTAATGTAAACAGCGAAAATTGGTCCCAGGCGGAGCTGCCTGCCGTCGGCGGCGCCGCGCCGCGCTATCCTATCCGGCGGACTGATTCCGAGGGTCGCTTCCGTCGCTCTGTCTCTCTCGCACTCACGGGGCGCCCCGTTCGGGAGCGAGAGAGACCGAGCGACGAAAAGGACTCTCGGAATCAGTCTACTGTAGGCCTGTTCCTGGAATGCTCGCGCGGCGAAACCGCCTCGGCCGTCTGGATGGCTATGGCTGGCCGCGTGGCGCGAAACGGCACACGAGTCCGTCTCATTTCATTGTCAGCTTCGTCACTCTCTCGCACCCCCGCTAGAGTGCGAGAGAGACAGAGTGACGAAAGTGCGGTTTGGACAGCCTGCAGGTCGCTTCACTGCTTCGCTTCATTTTGACGACGCATTGTCTCTGTCGAGCGGTAGGACTCCACCTGTAGGCAGCCCGCGGCCCGGCCGTCCTTGACACACCAGTGTGAGTCTTGCGCCTCGCCATGGCGCGCCGGTCCTCCTCTCCGTGCACGCCGCGCACGCCGCGCACGCGCTGCCGACGCCAGCGGACCCGGCACTGTTTACACGCCGATAGTGTTGGCAGTCATCGATAAGATCGAATGGGGCCGTCATCCCACCCGGTTTACAGGCTGACTCCGAACAACGGCGTCGCTCTGTCTCTCTCGCACGCGTCACGCGTCCCGTAGGTGTGCGAGAGAGACAGAGCGACGGAACACTGTCCGCGCAGCCGCTCTGCCTGCCGCACGCGCGGCGGCCACCAGCACAATGAGCCCAGGTTCACCTTGACGGGGTGCTTGTCGGGGCGCGCGACAATCCTGGCAGCGCCGGCGGACGGGGGTAGAGTTGGCGAGGGCGCAAAAAGAGGCAAAACAGCGACCGCCGCGGCGTGCCATGCCGTGCGGCCGTGTGTCAAGGGGGTGACTACATTCTTCAGCAGCGTACCCCTTCCCTTCCTCCGGGAAATGGGTCGGGGGGGGGGGGGGGCTTGCGCTAGCGGACGACGACAACAACGGGTGGGATGTCGCAACCCGCCCTGCGCCCCCAGCTGTCCGACCCACGCCCACGCCCACCCCGATTTCCCTAGGCAGACGCCGCCCTGTTTGGGGTGCCGGGTGCCGGGGGCCGGGGGCGGGCTGGGGGTGGGCGCTGGCGGCGCTCGGCCGACCGCCGACCGGACCGGGTGGCGCCACGGCGCGACGCTGCAGCTCGATTCCGAGCTGCGCCCTCGTGGCTCTGCCTCTCTCGCACGCACGGGGCGTCGCGAAAGGGCGAGAGAGACGGACAGGGCGACGAGGCGCAGTTCGGAATCCAACGGCTGCGGCGGCGACAGACGCGGCGTGTAGCAGGCCGCCAAACGCCACCCTCACCCTTCCAGCCGCACAGCCCCAGCCTTCCGGGTCGGGACGCCAGCGCGGCCGCGGCGCCACGGCCACGGAGAGGATTATGGGCTTCGGCGACAGTCTACACACGTCGCACGCGTGGACCGCGACGGGGACTTTCCATAAGCGGCGGTCAGATTCGAGCCGGTGCAAACCAGGTGCAGGCAGGCGGCGATAACCACCCGGGCTGGGCTTTGTCCAGTCAGAACCACGCCGACGATGACTACGCCCGTATAATGAGCAATCAAATAACCAAACCAGCTCCTCGCACTCCCAACCGTCTAAGACAACGAATTAATTCATAGTCTAATTTTTTTGTCGTTTTGAGTGGAGCTGCCGGCCGCGCGGCCTTCGGTCGAGTCTTGGACGCGCTGCGGACTGATTCCGAGAGGCCGCTAGGTCTCTCTCGCACCTATAGGGGACGCCCCACGAGGGCGAGAGAGACAGAGCGACAAAACAGACTCTCGGAATCAGTCCGCTGGGCGACTGAGACTGCTGACACGCCTCGCCTCGCCGCCAGACGAGTGTGTGGAACGTCCAACGGCCCCACTGGCACTGCTAGCACTGCTAGCACGGCGCGGGACTCCCAAACACTTCTCGGCCGTGGGGGGTGGGGTGGGGGCGGAGGCCGTAGCGGGAAAGGTCAGCAAAGTCATTTCGAACAGCGCTTCGTGCCCCTCTTTCTCTCTCACACACACACACCGACAGGGAGGAGCTCAGAGAGTGATAGACGGCCTAGGCAGCCCGCAAGGCGTCCTCGTTTGGGCAAACGACGCGTTGTGGCGTTAGAAGCGCCGCACGTTGATAGGGACAGCGCATGCGCGGGGAATCGAAAACAATAGTTCCCCCTTTTCCGTCTCCATCGCCCCGGGCTGCCATTCCGAGCCACGTCGGGCACGCCATGCACGCCAGACGTGTGCGTGACCGGCCAACCTAGTTACGCCCTTGGAAAGTAAAGGGCAGAGGGCGCCACCCGGCGCGCCAGACCCAGCAGAGTTCCAGAAAGTGGACGGACGCGTGCCGTGCCCGCTAGCGTCGCAACGCGTCGGGCAGGTCGATGTGAGTGCGAGGACCCCGCCTGCACCTACTCGACGTAATCACTAAAGTGGGTTCAAAGTTCAAGCCACGTGCCCACCGGCCGAGTGGCCGTCCTGAACGGTTCGGCAGGTGCACGCGAGGTGCACGCGAGGTGCACGCCGCCAACGGAGGGGGCCCGGCCGGAGGACACGCGCTACCGACCACTATCTCGACCTCAAACGAGCCTCCGAAGCGAGTTAAGCCTGCCAGGACTATTTCCGTGGCGGCGTGGACGCCTTGTCCCTTTATCTGCGGACTGGTTCCGAGAGTCACTGCGTCTCTCTCGCACTCATGGGGCGTGCCGAATGGGTGCGAGAGAGACGGAGCGACGGAGACGACTCTCGGAATCTGTCTCCTGGGATGCAGGCCGCGGCCACGGCCACAACACGGCCACGCCACGCGGAGCGGCGAGGGGCGGCCGAGTGGTCCGCCGTGGCGTGGGAACGGCGTGGAGGACGCGGTGGAGCAGATGGAGTCTGCAGCCGTTCGACGGACGACGCCGTCCTCGACCGCCACAGCGGCTTGGCCCAGTGCCTTTCACGGGCTGGGCTGTTTGGGGGCGGGGCGGGGCGGGGCGGGAAGACCACGAGGCCAGCCGGGCTGGCGCACTGGCGGCCCGCCAAGTGTTATTCAACTCGCCGGCCCTTTGGCGCATCGCGCTGCAACGCGCGGCGTCGCGCTGCAGACGCACCCCGTCCTGCACCGCCCTGCACCCCCGGCGAGCCCCCCGGAGTGCGCCCGGTGGTGGCCGACGTCGCCGTCGCCGTCGTTGGCGGCGACCCCTCACCGCGTGGCCGCGCACCAGCCGGCCACCGGCTGTGCGCACAGAATTAGAAAGAAAGCCTTGCCGTGACGGCAGCGCCTCTGACGGGGCGGGGCGGGCGGGGCGGGGCGGGGCGGCCCCCCGCGTGGTCTGCCTCATCCGCTGGCGTTCGGGCCGGGCGCGGGCCGTCACCGCCACGGGCGCCAGGGCGGACTCTAGGGCGGACCAGGGGGTGTGTACCTGACGTCAAACGTGTCGCCGAGGCGCCCTGTACTGGGCGCGCGGCCCAGAATAAGTCACTGCTGGACAGCGACCAGGAAAGATGACGCCCGGTGATAACGAGGCCGGCTCGGGCGCGCGCGCGCGCGCGCACACACACACACACACACAAACACAAACACGTGAAGCAAACACCGGTGCGTGGTACGGGGCGGCGCGGTGGGCACTGCTGGCTGGGTGCTACACGCGGTCCTCGCTGATAAGAAGCACCAGCAGCAGACAGCCTCGAAGACGCGAGGCCCGGCGAGGCAACCAACGTGTGAATCCAATTACCCGGGCCGCGTGTGCCCCGTGTGCCGCATGCCGCGTGTACAGTGAGTGTATGCACCGCCCGGCGCGCCTCGCGGCAACACGCCGATCTGGTTTCGCGTTCGCGCCGCGCGTCGCGCCAGCCCGCGAAAGAATATATTTCCGGTGAAGGGCTCGGAAAGGGGGGGGGGTGTCTGGCGAGCCGACGACGCTCACCGTCAGCAACGTCAAGACAAGACAAGGGGACATCCTGCTGTTCTCTACCAAAAAAACAAAAGTACACAGTCGCTTAAAGAAACAAGAACGACTACTCATTATGCTACGTCACAACCAAGCGACACTGTGCATCCAAACTACTCCCTCCCAGAGGCCCACTCACCTCGAAGGACTGGTCCACGAAGTCCACCACCTGGTCGCGGCTGGGCGCGCCGCCCGTGCGTTGCAGCAGCTCCTGGAAGCGGCGGATCGTCTCCTCGGGGGACTGCTTCACCTTCTTGTCGACGAACGTCTTGGAGTCCGGGAAGACGCCGGCCAGCTGCACGACGCGCAGCAGGTCGCCCTGGCAGACGACGGCGCTGCACACGAGGCAGGTGGGTGGCTTTGAGGAGGAGAGGTGGATGGGCGGGCCCTCGACGCCGAAGGCCGCGGGGGAGAAGCGGCGAGAGCCGCAACACTTGCACACGGACACGGAGCCCGCGGGGACGCCCAGCATCTCGACGGAGTCGGGCTCGGCCCGCCTCAGTTCGTCGCGGCTGGGGTGCCGGCAGCACTTGGACACGCCCCCGGCGGCCTTCTTGGTGAACTTGAGCACTGGGATTTTGGAGGCCTTGAGCATGGCGAGCGCGTCCGTGTACAGCTCGTTGGTGGTCTCGGAGTAGCGCCGCATGCGCACGCCCATCTTGGGGTTGCCGATGGAGGCCACGTTGACGGAGAAGCGGCGGATGCGCGGCCGCGGCTCCGGGCGCGCCGACGACTCGGAAGCGCGCCGCGAGCGCGCCATGCCCGACGCCATGGACACCACGGAGATCTTGCGGGTCTTGGGCGTGACGGTGCCGCTGCGGGGCACGGCGATCACCTCGGGGGCCTCGGGGCTGGCCGCGTTGCCGGCCTCCGCGTCGTTCTGGGCGTGCGTGAACACGGACGAGGTGTCCGACAGCTGGCGGGACAGCACGCCGCGCACGGCCTCGGACACGCCCGAGCCGTCGGACAGGCGTCGCGGCCGCACCGGCGGCGCGTTCTCCAGCGCCTGGGTGAGGTGAGCCAGCGCGTCGGCGTTGAGGGTGGTGAGGGAGCCCCGACGGGACGCCGCCGCGCTCACAGAGTCCGGCATGGCGTCATCGTAGAGCGAGTCCCTGGACGTGTACCGCGACAGCGTCCGCGGCGTCTGCGTCCCCGTGCCGGGCAGCTCCACAGCCTCCACCAGCTCCACCAGCTCCAGGGGCTCATCCTCCGGCACGTCGGGCAAGTCCGGCGCCTTGAGCACGGGCTCGAACTCCGTGATCGGAGCGTCTTCCGGGATGGGCTGGAAGTCTGGCTCCTTGATGACATGGTGCATCATGTCGGGCAAGTCCAGCTCCTCGGCTTCCGACACGAGCTCGCGCAGTGCCTCAGCCGCCGGCAGGGGCGGCTGTTCGCTCTTCTTGCTGTCATCCTCCATGATGTGCTTCTCAAAGGCGCTCTCCAAAATCCCAAGGCCTGCTAACTCTGCAACCAGAGGCGTGTCGGCTTCCGCGGGCTTGGGGGCCGGCGACGGCGGCGCGGGGGCGGGGGACGCGTGCGCGTGGTGCTCGGGCATCGTCACGGGCGGGGGCCGGGGCGGGGGCGGCACATCCGACTCCGTGGAACTCTCAACACTCAACACTGAACTTCGCGGTGGTTCGCGGACTCTGAGGACGCCGACGGCGCGAGGGGTGCGACTGAGACGGTCTGACGGTGTGGCCACGGCGAGGCTCGCGACGCGAATGCAGGGACGCCGCTCACGCCGCTGCCAACCAGCTGGCCAGGTGTAGCCGGCTCGGCTCGACGCGGCTCGGCGCGGCTCAGCTCGGATCACTAGCTCGCTGAGCTCATGGCTATGGCTGCCAGCCTGCCCCGTCTGGGCGGCGAGGCGCGGCGGGCGCGACGCGACGCAGCACCCCCCTCCTACTCCGCGGCCCGCCAGTCCGCCCCCCAGGACGACCGGCCCGGCGGTGCGGCCGCGGCGTGCTCGCGCTACGAGACTCCCGACCGCCGCCAAGGTTTCCGAGCTTCTCGCGCGGCACCGGCGGCACCCTTCACACAGCGCCTCTATCCCGATCCCGGCTCATCTCTAATACATTGCCATTACGCGCCGGGCGACGCCGGGCGACGCCGGGCGACGCCCAGCCCAAAACCGAAACCGAGGCGGGGCCAACCTCCGCGTGCTCCGCGCCTCCCCGAATGCAAAGTCTGCGTGATTTGAATTGCCTCTCGGCCGCTTGCCGCTTCCCAATTCGCGGTCCACTTAGTACAGCGCTGGCTTGCCGCGCCGGCCGCGCTGGCCGCGCTAGGCGCCAAGCAGGACGTCCTCATCCTCACTCGCCGCGCCGCCATGTCGCCGCCGCGCCGCCGAGCCACACGTGCCGTCAGGGGGCCGCCAGCGGGCCGGTGCCGCACAGTGCTTTCGTCGCCCCGTCTCGCTCGCACCCACGGGGCGTGCCGCGAGCCGCAGGGGTGCGAGAGAGACAGCGTCGAAAGCGGCGTTCGGAAGCGGCCCGCCGAGCGAGGGGCCGCGCGCCGCGCGCCGCACCGCCGGAAGGGGTCCTTGGGGGTTCGGAGCGTGCCGCCCGCGTCGCCGCGCCTCATTCCGCCCGGACAAAGACGCGCGCGCTGCCCGTTTCCGGTCTGCTTCCGGTCTGTCCAAAGGCTGCCGCGGGGTCGGGTGGTCCGTGTGCCGCGTTGTGGCCAAGCCGCCAGGGGTTGGTTGGTTGGTGGTTGGTGGGTCGAGTAGGTTAGTCTGGATTGACGTTAGAAAGAGAAGAAGGCGGAGACAGAAACATGCAGCCAGAAATGACCGTAACTCATGGTTTGATTTTGGTGAGGAGAAAGCGGGTAGGACACACAGTCTTTCCCTCATGAATGAACGCGAGGGGCGGGCCAGCCGCTTTCCCATCGACCAACGAGGCCCTCGATGAAGAATTCAGTTGGAATGCAAAACAAATGAGCCGATGGCGCGGCAGCGCGTATTTTTGCCGGTCAACGCTGAACGTGTTATTATGACGTGGCGCACCGGTCATGCGCAAATAATAGCCAGAAGCATGATTGAGACGAGGACCGCGATGACTCGCGTTGTAGGGAGAGAGACAGAGAGATAAGAGTAAGAGGATGATGAAGCCCAGGGCGCAATGCAAACCTACCTCGGTTTGGGCCAGGCCAGCTGCTGCGGTGGCGCCTCCTGCTGCGTCCGAGCCTGCTGCTCCGGCTGGTCCTCCTGGCTGCCTTGGCTATCCTGACTCTCCTCGGACGGCGACGACGGCGGCGCGGGTGGGAAAGGCGACTCTCCGCCGCCGAGGACGCGTCTGCAACAAACAACGCCGTCAGGCCCAGTCAGGAGGGCGGTCTCTCCCTCGGTCTATCCCCCCTTCACCGCGCGTCGGCGTCGTCCACTTCGCAGCCTCATCTGGAGACTGATTCCGAGAGCCGTTTTCGTCGCTCTGTCTCTCTTGTACTCATGGAGCGCGCCGTGTAAGTGCGAGAGAGACAGAGCGACGAAAATAACGAGTCTCAGAATCAGTTTGCCGGAAGAGCTCCCGGCGACAGCGTGATGCCGGTGTCGCAATATCGACGTCTCGGGGCTCCCCCCCCCCCCCTCTCTCTCTCTCTCTCTCTCTCTCTCGCACCCCTGAGGCACGCCCCTCGAGTGCGAGAGAGACGGCACTGCTCAGCCTGCGGCGAGCGGCACTCGAAGCACAGCGTGATGGATAGACTCGTTGCGCCCTCCAACGCAATTTAGTGCAAAGTTGGCGTCAAGTATCGAGAAGGCTGCGCGCCATCGGCGCCATCCCGCAGTGATGACGCTCAAGTTTCGCCCAAAGCACCGAGAGTAATTGCAACTTTTCTAATCATCCGTCTGCGCCCTGCCCAGCCCTGCCGGCCTGAGTGGAGTGGGGCGCCCGCCGCGCCGGCAGTGACGCCCGCAAAGTTGTGTCACGTGTTGCTTCGAGTCTTTGAGTCTTCGAGTCGCTGGCCGAGCCTCGAGCCGACCGGCCGGGTGAACGTCGGTCACCAGCTGCCTGCTGACAGACACTAGTCACTGGCAGACAGCGGAGGGTGGCCTATCCATCACTGAGCATCAAATTACCCGCGACAGTGCTGGAGCGAGCGCCTGACTTCCCGGTCTTCCCCAGCACGCCTCCTCGACGTCACCACCACGTTCAAGACGTCACGTGCCTCGGCGGTGAAGTGACGCCGCCGTCGAGCAGAGCGCGCAGGGCCACCGCCAGGACCGCGAGCGCAGCCAGCGACGACAACAAACAAAAACAAGTGGAAAACTTGGGCCGGCCCCTTAGGTTGCTTTCCACTGTTGTTGTTTGTGCGACGCGTGACGCGTGGCGCGACGCGAGCCGGTAGTGTCGCCGCGTGTCGCCGCGTGGCGCGTCGGAAGAGTCGGTCCATCGCCCTGTCTCTGTCGCACTCACGGGGCTCTGCGTAAGGGTGCGAGGGAGACAGAGCGACAGACCGCTCGGCTGGCGCGACGCGTCCTTGAAGGGTCGACGCATCCTCGCCCGAGAGGTGAAGACGGCAAGGCACCGGCTGCAGGCTCAACCCGAACAACTAACGCTTTCGTCGCTCTGTCTCGATCGCACTTCTCGGAACGTCCCGCGGGCGTTAGAGAGAGAGAGAGACAGCGAAGCAAGCATTCGCCACCGCTTACGGCGAAATGAAGCGGAGGCTGACCTTGGCTCTACCTCTACTTGGGACACTTGGGACAAGTCGCACGTGAGGCGAACACAAGACCCGCTGCAGGGCAGGGCCGGGCAGGTTCTTCAGGCCCAGGCGGCCTAGGACCTCAAGCATTCACGTGTCAAGTCGTGAGCAACAAGACAACCCGACGCAGGCTCTGGCTCTGGCTGCGCAGGAGCGCCCGATAGGCAGGCCACCCGTTCGCCGGCCGTGTCGGCCTGGCGGCCCACCCCGCAGGCTGCAAAGGCCAAGAGGGAATGACATTCAGCGTTTTCGCTATCGAAGGTCAAGCCCGCGACGCGGTAGTGTATTTGGCGAGCGTCTGGCCAAGGTCTGCGGAGGATTTTTTTCCGAGCTTGATTCACCGACAAAGCCGCAAAGGCTGGGTGCTTATCTGCAGGGCCCAAAGGGCCGCCTGTAACCGGCGCGGTGCTATGCTGCACCGACTCTGCGCTCGCCGTCAACACGGCGTGCTGTTTCATCTCGCAGCGGGTCTGCTGCCTCATCCCGAACACTCGAACAGGTGGCGGTTTCGTCGCTTTGTCCCTCTCGCACTCATTTGGCGGCCTGCAAGGGTGCGAAGTGCGAGAGAGACTGCGCGGAATCAGGCTGCTGGCTGGGGCACGAGGTCAATGATAGGATACGCACATGTAGCGACTATCCCGCCGGATTCGATGATGACACACTGCGCGTCACTGTCACCGCCCCCCTCCCCATCCCCCGTCCGGGCCACGCGCTTCTCAGAGGAGGGCCCTCGACGTAAACACTCAGGACAAGCGGGCGGTGGCGTCGCGTGGGCGCACCGCGCACCAGGGTAGCGCCACCACCAGAAGGCCAACGAGGCTGCCTCTATTTGGGTCACGGGCAGCCCAGCGCGCCGCGGCCGACAGCAGGCCGACGGCCAGCGCGTGCCGACCGCCGCGGGGCACTAGGCGACTCGGAGGGGGAGGGAGCGCCGGAAGACGGCGGTGCGAGCGCGAGTCCCGATTTAAAAGGTGTGATTCAAAGTGGAGGCGCGCGCTGCAAAAACAGAAAGTCGGTAGTACTACGGCCCCACACTTGTTGGCCACCTCCTCGCTAGTCGCTCGCCCGGCAGTCGTTTTCGTCGCTGTCTCTGTCGCACTCACGGGCGCCCCGTAGGTGAGAGAGAGATAGAGCGACTCTCAGCATCAGTCTACCGGCCGCGGTGACGTCATCACTCCAAGGCGGTCGGGAAAGTTGGCCATTTCTCTATCGCTGTCCTGTATCCGCGGAGGATAGCGGCCAGACCACCAGGTCGTCGTCGTTGACGTCCACGCTTTTGACAGCGCCATGCTATCTGTCACCGCCGCGAGTGAGAGGGAGAGGTTGTGCCCGTGTAAACACGGGGCGCATCGGAGGCCGCGGTTCGTGCGCCCTCGCCGAACGGCCGCGAATCCAGCCGAACCTAATCGCCATTCGGGTACAGTTACCTCCGCGGTGTTCAATTACCAGCGAGGTTGCGCAACCCAAGACAAAGACGCTAACCTTACACCCGAAAGAGTCGACGAGTCACTGCGGCTCAATTTTCCCATTCGATGCGTTTTTCGTGTCGGGTTTCGAGAGCAAAGTCTGTTGGATGAAATAAACAATGTACGAGATGGTTAAATAATAAATATGGAACTTACGTTTGCAATTTTCTGTGTGGGCTCCTCAATGGTGAACTGTCACTCCGCAAAACCTTAACCAACTTGACGCACTGCTCCAACGGCTCCTTTGGGATCAACCAGTTCACTCGCCCGAACATTCCAGGAAGGTGAGAACGCTAAGAGGGCAAAATTCGACTCTTCATGGTCTCATTTCGTTTCTCTTCTGCTAGAGCACTGTAGCAGACAGAAATTTCGCCTCCTTCTTTTGTTTACAGTCTGCTGTTGTGTGTCCGATAATCATCACTTGTACAAGGCGGAGAGGTCTGTTTCGTCTGTTAGCGGTTGTGGTTTTGCATTTTAAATCCATTTAAAATGTTGCAAGAATTTTGTCTACCCCAAGAAATTTCTTAATCAGTTAAAACTGTTAGTTTTTGATGACCGCAACTATCGGCTTGGCTTCGATTCTACTTAGAAAGTTGGAATCGTTGTTACGTTTGGTGAACTGAGAGGTTAAGTTGTCCCAATCCACTCTCCAGACTTGTGAAATTTTTATGATTTGGTCTCATTTTACGAGTCAGCATGCGCCAATTAGTACGAACAGTGCTACATCGGTATGTCCGCATACCAACGGCAAATGTACTCAATGTTGAAAGGCTGCTGCTGAACGATGCTCTTCAACAAAGGGCCATCGCTCCTACTCACTTACATACATGTTCCGTCAATTTAGACAGTAAAAGGTCTAATAATAGTGGCTATAGATTAGACGAAGATGAAGAAGATGACAATGATGACGCAGCTAAAGCTGCAAAGTCAGCTCTGTCAACTCGGACATACTTTGACTCTGATAAAAGAAACAAAGAAACGTTTGAAGTTATGTTAGATATTTACAAAAAAGAAAATTTAAACAGAAAAGGAGTTGTGGAATTTATATATGCTGCCCTAAAACACATGGATGATTACAAGGTTTCCTATGATCTTGAGGTCTATAAGAAACTTATTGAGTTAATGCCAGAAGGGAAATATGTGCCTGAAAACTTTTATTCAGAAGCATTCTTTCACTATCCAAAACAGCAAGATTGTCTCATAACATTACTTGATACGATGGAACTGAAAGGTTTGTACAGTAAATCTGAACTAGCTACTTTGCCATAGTTGTTGAAATAAAATAAAATGACTTGCCATGCTCTTCTGTACAGGTGTATGTCCAGACAAGGAAATGGTTGATATTATCAAAAAAAGATTTGGAGAGAGGGGTCAGCCTTTAAAGAAAGTATGGCGACAATTATACTGGTTTCCTAAATTTAAAAATGCAAATCCCTGGCCAGTGCCTTGGCCTCCAGTTTTTGATCGATTTACACTTGCAAAATTAGCTGTAGAAAGAATAGTTAGCGTAGATCCTCAGTCTGTGGTATCAGTGTACCAGGTAAGTAATGCAATTTTCTCTATCCTCAAATTTGACAATTTGCAGATTTTTAATCATTCTGTCTGTGTTATTAGACCAAATCTGTTCCGGACTCCATTGATGATACTTTCATTGTCAGTGGACAAAGTCCAAAACAGCAAAAGTTACTGGCACAGCATCCCACAACAAAATCCATCTACGTTGAGGGATCTTTCCGCATATGGGTTGGGCGAGCCTCAATTAACTACTTCATCTTGAGAGCTGACCCAAAGGAATTCAAAGAGGAACTTGTAGATCCAGATGGTATGTAAACGTATGTGTTTCTTTCTTTTTTTAATTTTTAGAAAATCTAGTTTAACCAAGACAACTTTTGACTTTTCAGATGTGAGCAATTTCCATGTTCCTTTCCTATATGAGACGCCGAAGGCTGTCATTGAAAAGCCATCTGTCCATGAACAGAGAGATGGTACGATACTGGCTGTTTGCGCCTCAGGCTCTTCAAGTCGTGATTCTTTGCTTTCATGGATAAGATTGTTGGAGACAAATGGAAACCCCGCTTTAGCAGAAATCCCAGTCATATTCTCACTCAAGGCCCCAGTAGGGGACATTGTGGCCGCCAACCAGGATGTTCCCCCGCATAGTGATGAAGAACCAGAGAAAGTGTCCAGCAACTGATTAAATTATATAGATTCTATGTACAAAGAAAAAATATTCTTAGGTGTAAATAAAATATGAAAATGTCAGTTACAATTCATAGAAAATTAGTTGAAATGGAAATTTCAAATAGATTGAAATTTTTACAATGAATCTGCAACTTTCACTGTCTCCTTGCTTTTCTCAACTATTTTTTGAACCAGTTCTTGAAATACTTTAGCAGCAGGACTACTTGGATTCACAGTGATACAACTTTGCCCTTTCTCACCACATGCACCAAGTGATGGGTCAATTGGTAAGCTACCCAAAAATGGAACATTGGTTAGATTTGCAAGAGACAGTCCTCCTCCAGAAGAAAATATATTGGTGCATTCCTGGATATAACATAGAGTTACAAATATATTACCAATGATAGCTAAGAAAAACATTTGAGCAATGGAACAAGTAATACTTACAGAACACACTGGACATACAAAGCCACTCAAATTCTCAAGAACACCAAGTACTGGTATGTTAGCTTTCTTGCAAAAAGAAAGCTCTTTCATACAATCTTCTACAGACACTGCTTGAGATGTTGTTACTAGAAGTGCACCATCACAAGGAAGATCCCTGTCAATTGCAATAATAATTTAGCAATATAATGAAAGCATTAAGGCAATGATGATGTTTACATAATGATTACAGAAAATTACTTCAGGTTCTCCATTACTGTGATGTGTTCATCGGATGTACCAGGTGGAGTGTCAATTATCAAGAAGTCTATATCTTGCCAGTAAACATCAGAGAGAAATTGCTTGATTATGGCTAAAATTGAAAAGAAAAGAGTGAGTTATTAAGATCTTCCCTCAGATATTTTTAAAAGTTACATTTGCGTACCATTCTTCTTGGGACCTCTCCATACAACACTGTCATCCCGGTCTTTGAGAAGAAATCCTATTGACATGACGGCTAGTCTTTGCTCTGCATCAGCATACACTGGTACCCACCTGGAAAACAGAGAGATATTTGAATGAATTGTGCGATAGGATTGGGCATGGTGTGCTCAAAACAAAACGTACCCTTCAGCACACTGATGAACGTCTTTCCCTTCCAGCTGCAGTAAATAAGGCACACTTGGTCCACACAAATCTACGTCCAGCAAGCCCACCTGTGGATAAGTTACCAGTTTGTTAATATAAAACAGTGATGTATCAACATTGCACCACCAGGGAACAACAAGTATCCAAATGGAGTTCAGAAGAAGAAGACTATATGATGATACAATGTTCTAATAAAAATAAATAAATTGTTCAACGTGACAAGAACAAATCCCCTTTGAATTAGCAGACCAATGAGGTATAACCTCTTGGTACTCACTTTAAACCCGGCTTCTTTCATAGCCAAAGCTAGTTGCGTGCTCACAGTAGATTTGCCAACACCCCCTTTTCCTGACAAAACCAGGATTATGTGTTTTACGCCTGTCAGCATCGGCATGATGAAATTTGTGGCAAAAATATGATGAAAACAAACGTTCAAAGATATGTCATCACAGGCGGGTTCTGTTTTTGCAGTGAGCCGAACTCGACTTGTGGCGCTCCCTCGCGGAGGAATCAAGAACTAGAGAGTCGGAGCTTCCCCGACTGGTGGCGCCATCTCACGTCTTCTCCTTGGGCGCGCGCGTTTTGAATCTGGGCGCGCTCCGTCACGGTCACAGATTTGAGTCCTCTATCAACGATCAGCCGCAAAAGAGATGATATGCACCCACATGGGCTATGGCTGAGTGACCGTGTGTCTGGTGCGCAAGGTGACAGCAAACTAATAGAATGAATGCCTGTGGCTTTGGCCTCATAAAACCTTCAGTGTTTGCCTGTTTCTACAGGGAGTGTGTGGTACAGCACATTTCTTGAATTTGCTGTTTCAATAGGGCAGGATGAGTGTTAAGAAAAATAACAGAAGCGGGTATGTCATTTTGAAATATCATTTACTTCTCATTAATAAATACTCTGTGACTTTTTCGTACATACAATATTCATAACAAAAATACAATACTTACAAACCCTTCATTTACTATAAAACATGTAACACATTTGCAGCTTTACATAATATACACAAGAGAGACAGGGGAAAAGAGCAAGGAAAAATATCAAAAGCTGAAAGCTTGGCACAAATTTATCTAAACTCCTGAAGATTCATTTATAAAAATATTACGATTTGTGAGATTGGTCATAAATTTGATTTACAAATACAACTTTGAAAATATATTTCTCAAGAAAAGGGCGTTAAATTTCAAAATTTCACACTGTTGTATAAAAAGGAATTACATGTCATAAATGTCAAGTGTTCAAAAAGTCCAATACGGACTACGCAGTCCTATGACAGAAATTGTACAAATAAAACACATTACCAAGCACTTCAACTTTTGGAAGACTCAGTGTAACTGCAGACTTCATAGATTTATAAAGAGAGGAATTTGTATCACAGCTTTAAAGTTTCACTTCAGATCAAGTGAATGTACAAAATACAGTATAATGATAACAGCAGAAAAATTACACTCATTTTAAATTATCTGCAATATACTCAAATGCAGCAATGAAAGAACATTCATAACCGGTAACACATACTTTCCATATGTATAAATGTACAAAATTACAAAGATTAATCAGTCATATGCTTTGATCATGGGTGGATCAGTTTCATTATTCTTCTTCATGATGACAAAAAGGAAAAAGACTAAGTTCCAGTATTTTACCCAAACCCTGCACATTTCGCAAACAAGTCTTTTCGCTGCTTGGCTGCATAGTAAGCTTTATCAGTTAAGAAAATGACAGGTCACTATTTCAACATGGTCACAGAGAGAAAGCGTCAATATCAATAATTTAAGAAAGAAGATATAGGAAACAGAATTCATCCAAGTACTTCTAAGATGTTCTTAGACTTATGGGAGGAACAACATTAATTCCTACCACTGGATTACATATCACAAGAGCATACACAGGACATATTTTTCCAATATGAATATGTATATTTGGATAATAGCGTACTATTTACAACGGCTCATGAGCTTCTCACGCAGCATCATGGCCAATCAAAATCAAACCAGATCTGGGGATTTGTCTGATGACAACCCCACGAAGTATCATAACGCGGTGGCTATCTTAAAACAAATAACAAATAACACCACCGAACAAAGAAGACTAGCACTCGCTTCACCAAGCGCTCTTGCACAATCATATCACAATGCCCTTCGGGCGAATCCAGGGGGGAGGACCAGCATGACCAGCACCGGCGTGGCGCTTCATGCCGCGTTGCCGCGTCCGGGGGAGCCACCAGCCACCAGCCGCAGTGTCAAGCAGACCAGCAGACGCGTCCACTTTATTTTAACAGGTCTCGCTTTCAGAAATAGGAACAAGTGCAATGTTCAGTCAGAGGCGCACTAAGGCAGACGGTGGGTAGTCGAGAAAAACAACAAGGAGACACAGCGGATGGTGGCCCTCGCCCTCACTGCTCAGACGTTGGTGGGCGGGTCGCTGCCGCTGGCGGCGCTGGCCCAGGGCACGAAGGAGGCCAGGACCTGCTTGTAGCTGGACTTGGCGTGGACGCGCGGCGCGTTGCCCAACAGCACGTTTCGTTGGTTGTTGTTGGCGAGGTGCGGTGCGTCCCGGTGCAGGTCCAGCAGGTCGTAGCTCGCGGTGTAGTTGAGCTTGGCCAGCGTGTGGTTCTTGGGCGGCAGGCCCGGCGGCAGGCTGCAGTCCGAGCCCAGACGGTTGACGCCGTGGCCCCAGCCCACGCCCGTGCCGCACGGCAGCAGGGGCACCTTCTTGTCGGACAGAGCTGGGAAGGCGCACGCACTGCAACAGAGAGAGAAGGAACGTCAGCATGCCGTTCACAACACAGCTCGGCGAGTGAGTCGGCCATGATTGACTCGTCCGGAACGCAAAACTAAATTGACACAGGCCTTCCCCCTTGCCCAACGCTTGCACTACGAACCTTGGCTCCCAACACCCCTTTCAACATCCCGCCTCTAGGCTCCAGCACAGGCAGTGGTGGGGGTGCTTCCGCAGACAAAGTCCTCTGCAACACACCACGAGCCAAGGAGGTGGAGGGAGTCCAGTTCGAGTCAAGTTTGGCTTTGGCAGACCCGTCAAACATTGCGCGCGCTGCCGCGGACACGTCATGTTTGCCGGTCGGTTGGAGCGGTTCGAGCTAGTACGTGTACTTCGTGTACTCACCTCAGCTTGCTGGCGCGCTGGTGCTGGCTATCGGCGCGCAGCAGGCGCACGGCCAGGACGATGAGGAGCACCAGGATGAGGGCGCCGCAGATGGGCACGGCGATGGTGGCCGCCTTGAACCACAGCTCCGCGGAGCGCGCCGCGGCGGCGGCAGCGGCAGCCGACTCCGAGGACGAGACGGAGGGCCCGGCGACGGCGCCCGGGGGCACCACCACGCCGGCGGGGCTGGACATGGTGACGTGGGTGTCGCTGCCGTTTGGTCCTGAAACACGAAAAGCAGGTCGTTAGGACGGCGTCAGGCACAGTGGCAGCCCTTTCCCGGAAAGGCAATCAACGTTATTGGCACTATACGAAGCGCAAAGCACTGCACACCGAGGCAGGCCGGCAGGCCAGGCGAAATCTGATACGGGCGCAGCCCTTGCGGCCCCCGCCGTCATCGAGGACAGGCGGCCAGCCCCCTCGGGCCCCCGCGGCCCCACGGCCTGCCCCATGGCGGCCCCCTGCCGCGCCGCCGCTCTGGGAACACAGGAATCCTGCTGCCCCTTCGGCCCCCTTCGGCCCCTTCCCCTTTCCCCCAACCTCCACGATTACGGCCCGAGCCGAGTGGACCGAGGCCATAAAACTTGCTTTATTTGTTTTAAGCCGAGTTAGCGGCGCGGCCCGCCCCGCGCCACGCCGCGCCACGCCCCGCCACCCACCTCATTTGCAATCCCACCGCACTTTTACGGGGGATTGATTCCTGCTATACTTTCATCGTCCGCCGACCAGCCTCACGTTCACGTTCGCGTCGGCGCGCAAGGAGCTCGGGCGGGGATTGAGACTGCCAGCGCGGAAGCCGAGCTGTCTCGCGCCGTCTCTCTCGCACTCAGGGGGGAAGGAGCCAAAGAGAGGGAGAGAGAGAGAGAGAGAGAGAGAGAGAGAGAGAGAGAGAGAGAGAGAGAGAGAGAGAGGGAGGGAGGGAGGGAGGGAGGGAGGGAGAGAGGGAGGGAGGGAGGGGGAGAGAGAGAGAGAGCGAACGGCGTGCGGAGTGAGCCTGCTGCAGCGGCTGCAACCCCCCGCAGTCGCGTCAACTGCCATGCGGGGCGCATCAGTCCGATACCGGCTAATGAGCCAATAATACCCCGAGAGGCGCCCCGCGAGCCCCGCCCCGCCCCGCCCCGCCGCGACATTGGGTGCGTTCCACACGCCACATAGCGAGCCAGCGAGCCAAGCAGCCTCCCGCTGACTGGTCAGAAACAAAACAGACTCCTTCCCTTCCCCCAGAGCCGTCCGGCCCGACCGCCCGACCCGGCTCGGCCCCTCGGCCCGTGCACGCCGCCGCACGCAAATAATTTCCATTTATTTACGATAGCCTCGCAGGCGACTCGCAGGCAGCGAGCGTGCCTTATGTAGACAAGTCTTTTTGTTTTATAGTCCATTTATCCCCCACCCGATATAAAACTGGAGACGTTTGTTTATCTCCTCGAGGAGCGACGGGACGGCCAACATCCGAGAGTGCCGAGTGGAGAGGGGGGCGGCCGGGGGCGGCCGGGGGCGGCAGCAGCCTATCGGTCACGTCGGCGACGAAGGATGCATTTCCTGATGCATTGGTGGCATTCGTCTACTTCGGGGACTACTTCGGGACTTTCCATCGGCCTGCCCTGGGGGCAGGGCGGCGCGGGGCGGCGCGGGGCGCGACCCAACACGTCGACGCGCACCGCGTGGGGAGTGCGGAGCAGTGGTGTCCGAGACCAAACAAACGTGCCGAACGTGACAACACGACGCGGCGCGCAGCAGCCGTTTGGCGTGATTGGCGTGAGTGTCCATCCGTCAGCCTCTCGCCTCGACTCCCGCGGCAGTCCTGCCGTCCTGCCTGGCCTGCCTCTCGGCTGAGGCGAGGGCGAAGGCGCGGAAGGCGGCCATGCGGCGGAACAGCCCGGCCTATTTTTGGACCATTGGCCAGAACCGCGCGCGGCGACAAGGCGTCGTCGGGAAGGCCCGGCGTGGCCGCGTGGCCCGGCGAGTCGCACCAGTGCAAGCTTGAGATGCCCGGCCACGCGGCCACGCCCCGCGGCCCTCGGTGGCCTCGACACCGCCAGCCGACTGATTCCGAGGGTCGCTTTCGTCGCGCTGACTCTGTCGCACCCATGCGGGACGCCCCATGCGTGCGAGGGAGACAGAGCGACGAAAGCGACTCTCGGAATCAGTCGGCAGGGACCGGACCGGTGGGCCGGCGCCACGATGCAATCTCTACGTAATAGCGATCTCGGGGGCGTGGCGCGGCGCCCCATCAGTCTTGGACCCGCCTTGCCCCGCCCCGCCCGGTTCCGCAAAGAATCCCTCAAACTCACCGCTGTGTCGCATCCTGGAGTCCGGACTATCGATGTGGTTGCACATGTCGTCTGTGCAGCACAGCAAGAGGGACGGCGTGTCCTGCGTGGCTCTCGGTCTGACGGCGTCCTGGGGCTGTGGAGGCGCCTCCTCGACCGCCGTGTCCTGCGGCACTGCCTCCACGGCGTCCTGCGGCGCGGCCAGGGCGGCGTCCTGCTCCCAGGCGGGGACGTCGTCGGCGTCCTGGTCCGACGGCGGCCTCGGCTGATTTTTACATTGCTGCTGCCTCCCAGAGTCCAGGAGGTCCAGGCAGCCGTGCCGCGCCCGGTAGACGTCAACATGGTCGACCAGGTCAGAGAAGCATCCCCGCCCGGCCGACTTGCACATGTAGCCCGTGGTGATGCAGGCCGGCAGGTTGCAGTAGCAGCGGACGTCACCTGGAAGCAAAACAAGGGCAAAGTTAGCCACGCCGAACTGTAGGCCCGCGACGCGGCAACGCGAAACGCACTCGGCGAAACCACAAACAAACGACAAACGGCGACCCGACTGTCTGCCGGAAGTCGACGCCAGGGCGCGCCAGGGCGGCGGGGCACACCGGGCGCGTCGTACAGTAGGAACGAGCACAGGTGCATAAATAAATAATAAAGCTATTGAAACTCAATAAGCGTGTGAATGACTGCCCGGCCCGTCGCCGGGGCGGTGAAAGGCGTGGGGGGCTAAGCAGGACATCACCATGACAATGGCAGTGCCGAGACCGGCCTGTGCCGCGCCTGCCGCGCCTGCCGCGGGTGTCGACTTGAGCGGCCGCGGCACACACGGCACACACGGGCAGAGGCCCCGGGCCCCCAGCACGCAGCCCCGGCCGCGTCGTAAAGCACCTGCTGCCCATTCACAGGGTGTACCGGCAAGCCGACCGGGGCGGGGCGCACGGGGAGATGAGTTATGGCGCCCGTCGCGGGGGCTCCCCCCTCACACACACACACACACACACACACACACACACACACACACACACACACACACTGACACGCGGGGCGCTCGCCAGCGAAGGTGAGCGGGGATCCCGACAACAGAGTCTCTCTTTCCGAAGCACCCAGCGAGCGAGCGGCGGGCTGACGGCAGCATAAATTAATGTCCCCGTTCGATATTCTGTTTGTTTCTCTCTAATGCAGGCTTAATCCGCGGCCCGCCGCCACCAAAACGGGCCGCGGCGTGGCACTCCATGGATGGCCCCCAGCACGCCATGCATGGCGGCTCGCCCTGCTCGCCCACGCGGCAGTAGTAGGCTGTGGCGGCGCGGCGGCCCGGCCCAGGACGCCGCCGTGGAGGTAGGCAACGCGCACGCAGCCGTGCCCGGCGGGGTGGCCTATGCGAGCTTCCGCGGGCGCTCCACGCTGCTCCACGCTGCTCCACGCAGTCCGTCTACGAAAAGACAAGACCCTCATCCAACGGCCGCTATTTGGGGACGGGCCCTCGCAGCCCTGCCCCCGGGGCAGCGCGGAGCGGGGCTTGTCTTCCTTCTGGGCCGAAGGCAGCCACAGGCTTGCAGCCACAGGCTTGGCCGGCCGGCCGCCGCCATCTTGCGTGGTTTTGTTTATGTCTTCTAATTGAAAGACCGCCGAGCCGCGCCGCGCTGTGGACACAGCGGGGAGCCGCGCGGAGAGCGGGGCGGCGAGCGGGGCGAAGGGAAAGAGAGACAGAGACAGGGGACAAGGAGGGAAGCAAGGAGAGAGAAAGAGAGCGAGGATGCAAAGAGTGCACTTTCCCCCACCAGCGGCCAACGGCCAGGCATTTGTTGCATTTGCATGGCCTGGCTGGCCTGGCTGGCTGCACTGCCTGGCCGCGGCTCGCACGGCTCAACAGGTGGGGCACTGCAACAATGCGTCCCGTCCGTCCGCGGCGTGGCGGCGTGGCGCGTCGTCCTGCCCGTCGTCTAGGCCGTCGTCCAGGCCGTCTAGGCCCTGGCCGTGCTAATGGCCGGCGCCGCATTCCCCGCTAGCTCCTCTTGATGGGCGTGCAGGCCGCGCTGGACGCCAGCAGACTGATTCCGAGGGTCGGTTCCGTCGCTCTGTCGCTCTCGCACACGCAGGGGGCGTCCCATGAGTGCGACGGAGACAGAGCGACGAGAACGACTCTCGGAATGAGTCTGCGGCACGATGGAGGACGCGGGACGGACGACCCTCGACGCGACGGCGCGACAGCCCGACAGGCCTATGATGGCACAATTTGGAGCGACAAGCGCGCCGCAGTCACGGATTGGCTGCGGGGCTTTCCGCGGACTTGAACGCACACAAACTTACACGCACACACACACACACACACACAGCCAAGGGCGGCCAAGGGTCGAGGAGCATTCCAGGCGGTGATGGCCCCATAAAACGAGCAGCCCGGCGGAGGGCCGGTGGAGGGCCGGCCGAGTCAAGCTCAGCCAAGCTCGGCCCTCGCGAGTAACTGACTGACCCAACCGAAGTAATACATCGAAGCCTCCAAGCGCAAATTTTATTTTTAGACCCTCGCAGGAGGCAGGGAAGGGGGCGATCCAGAGGGCTGCACACACACATGCACACACGGTGACTCACACACCGACCCGCTTACATGCACTTGATGCGCGAGTGTGCGTGCGTGCGTGCGAGTGTGTGAGTGAGTGAGGTTAGGTTGAAATGCCACCATGAAATAAAAAGCAAAAAACAAACGACGCTGACATTTACTTCGGCCGCCACGGGACGACGGCGGCGACGGTTCGATAACCGGTTCCGCTCTGAAATTCTGCTACTTATTATTTTCTTTTTAATAATGTGTATTTTTCTTGACGTCTGTTATAAAGCGAGGCATAGGACGCGTGAGGGCTCCCGGGCACACCGCTGGGGTCCACTGGAAGCGCACTGGACAGCCAGGCGGCCGAGTGGACGAGGACGTGTCCTTAGGTTCTATTCACGCCCAAGGGCCTACCTGCCTGCCTGCCTGCCCCCTCGGGGGCCCCTGCCGCCCCCCCTTTCCCTATTCCCCATTCACGCATTGGGCCGAGTGTGCCGTACAGTGTGGCGGCTCTCGCCCGGCGTCAGCCAGCGTCAGCCAGCGTCAGCCGCCAACAAAAGACCGACCCAAATAAAACGGAACGGACGCGTATGACGAGGAAAAAGCAGATCACGATAAAACAAAAATTGGGTCCCCGTGAGGGCGCAGCGAGGCGCAGCTGCTGCAGCCTTCGGGGACGTGCGGGGCGCCCCCCCCCCTCTTCTCCAGCACACGACGCGGAATAAAATGGGACGACAGGCGACATATGCTAAACACGGCGGACGCGCGGACGCACCGGCAAAGGGGAGACACATATACTACATCGCCGCTAACAACAATCATCATCGATGAGGATCCCGACGAACAAAACCTCGCCGTAAATTATGAAAATTTAATCAAACATAAATACAGGCGATCCGTCGCTCTGATCATCCAAATCAACATCAACAACACGCACACAGGCACACAGGCGCGCGCTGAGGCGGCATGGACGCGCCGGGACACACAAGGCGTCCATTATACTACAACGGCGCCGACATCGTCCCATAGATTTTAGTTTTTCCGCCGCTGATGCGACAGGGCGCCGTGCTCTGCGAGCCCAGACGGCCTCGCCGGCCCCGCCGCGCCGCGGACACCACATGCCGTCGGCGGCGACAGGGCAGCGCCGGGCAGCGCCAGCGCGGCCCCAGCGTCTCCAACGAGACGACCTCGATTCCGTCCTCCATCGATTTGTTTGCCAGACGGACGGCTGGCGCGGACCGGCGTCCACGTCGTGGAGGGCGCCGTGGTCGCGACCCGCAACCCGCACGCGCTGCTGGCACACTGCTGGCGCCGTCACGCCGCCATGCAAATCCGGCTAATCCGCGGTGCGTCGCCAAACGCCATCACGCCGAACGAACGCCGCGCGCGGCCAGCGGCATTTACATCTCATTCCGGCGGCCGGGCCGGCGCCACGGCCCCGCCACACTGCCACGCCGGCGACCAAGGCGACGCGACCGCGGGGTCGACGGGGACCTCATTTGGCGCCAGCCGCCAGCAGGCTGCTTCTGTCCCTGTCGCACCCCTGCGAGGCGCCGCTCGAGTGCGAGGGAGAGCTACGTTGGGCATGAGGCGCCAGCTCCTTATCAAGCCGGCGGCCCGGCGGCGCCAGCGCGTGAGGCCGAATGGCCAGGCGGACACTCGAAAAGGAAAAGGCCTTGGAACCGATAAGCCTTTTGGTCGTTCCTCGCGGTGGTTCCGCTCGGCCACTTTGCTTGCCGTTGGCGGCGTGGTGGTTGGACTTGGTCGTCAGGGCTGGCCGCCGGCCCCCGGCCGCCGCTCTCTCAGTGTGGGCGGCGCGGCGCGCACTCCAGCACCTGCTCGCTGGCCGTGTGCCCCACCTTTGCCGAAATGCGTGTGTGTGTGTGTGGATGTGCGTGTGTGTGCGAGTGAGCGGGCGCGCGTGTTTACGATTTTCTCGAGTAGCGGCCGGTCCCCGGAATGCCGCCCTATAATCTCCTGCAGTGAAAACGCCACGGCTCGGCCAGCCAAGCCAGCGAAGCCAGCACGGCCCGCGGCCTGCACCAGAGCACCCCGCCCGCCCCGCCCCGGCCCGCCCCGCCTCTGCAGCGCAGCCGATGCAGGCCATGCAATGCCCTGGACTTGACCAGCCGACCGGCCGGGCAGTGCCAGGCAGCAGGTTTGAGCGGCGCAGCGCCGGCGCCTCCTCCAAGCCAACAAGTGCGAGACCGCGACTGCGAGGCCTCAAGTCGCCACAACGCGACGACCCCCCCTGCTGCATGAGGGACTTGGTGGCGCCGGGCCGGGACGCGACATCCGTCACCACAAGCCGGACCGCAAATCCGAATCCCAATCTGAATCCGGGCGAAAGCCGTCGCGATTGCGAAGCGAGGAATGCGACCCACTTCGCCGCGGTGGCCTTGGCTGCCTTGGCTGCCTCGGCCGCCTCGGCCAGTCGTAATGAAATCAGTTCAACGCTTCCTAGAGTCCGTCCCGTCCGTCCTTCCGTCCGCATTCGGCCAATTCATCGACAGACAGGCGGCCGGACGGCCCGGACGCCACTTCGGCCGGTTCGCTTCGGTTCGGCACGTTGCCGGCGAGACTTATGAGGCATAACGGGTTGGGGCGGCCAGCCTTCGGCCAGCCGAGCGCTCTGTCTCTCTCGCACCCTTACGGAGAGCTCCATGAGTGCGACGGAGACAGAGCGACGGAACGACTCTTCCGAATCGCTCGGCGGGCGGCTTGGCGGCTTGGCGGTGTCGCGCGCTGCGGCGCCCGACAGGATCCGGAAAATGAGTGTCCGCGGCTCCGCGGCTCTGCGCCCAGTCGGCGCCGTCCTGGGAACGGAGAGGCACGGCACGGCGGTGCGGCGACCCGGCGGACCCGACCAGCCCGACGCCGCCGCCAGTTCCGTTCCCACGCC